CCCAAATTTATATAAAAATCAATTGGTGACATATTTAAGACTATTTTTTAAAGCAACTTTGCCAGTTTTACCAAGGCATTTTTTTGTGGATTACTTAATCATAAAAACCAAACCTAGTCTATCACAGGTACTCAAATTTGTTAAATGAGTGGATTAATGAAATATTCAAAAAATAATACTCATAGTAAATATGGTAATATATGTAAAAGTGCTTGTGAATACTCAATTATTTATAAATCTTTAGTGTTCCAAAAACTACATTAACCACAGGTATTAAGGTTTCATTTCCTCTGGAATATGCAGGTTGTACCCTGTTTAATCTCAAAGGCTGCTCTTCCCTGAGCTCCAACAATCCCATGTGGCAGTCTTGATAAACACATGGGAGAGCGTGATTAAGAGTTCATGAGTTAGGGCCGGCCCGGTGGCGCACTGGATAGTGCGCCACTTGGGAAGCGCAGCGGTGCTCCCGCCCGAGGGTTCGGATCCCACATACAGACCGGTTCCCGCTCACTGGCTGAGCGAGGCGCGGGAGCAACACCGAGGGTTGCAATCCCGTTGCCGGTCCCGGCTTGGGAAGCGCGGCGGCGCTCCCGCCCGAGGGTTCGGATCCCACATACAGACCGGTTCCCGCTCACTGGCTGAGCGAGGCGCGGGAGCAACACCGAGGGTTGCAATCCCGTTGCCGGTCCCGGGTCCGGTACGGGGGCAACACTGAGGGTTGCGATCCGTTGCCGGACACGGAAAAAGACAAAAGACAAAAAAAAAAAAAAAAAAAGAGTTCATGAGTTAATGTCTCTCTGTTGGGATTTGAAACACATTTATTTATTTATTTATTTATGGGTTTTTTTTTTTCTTTTTATTCTTATTTTTGTTTTTATTTATTTTTGGTGGCTGGCCAGTAAAGGGATCAGACAGTGTTGTTGTTAGCACCTAAAACACCTTTTGAATTTAGGTGAATTTGATTTTCGATGTTTCTGTGTGTGCAGATGTATATGTCCCTCAGTTTCTCTCTTTTCTCACCTCCTGACTCTGCTGTTTGTGTGTTTGGATCAGATTATAAAAGAGCCCAGCATGTGGATAAGAGACAGGCAGCCAGGAAGCTGAAAATAATAATAAAAGACATCACAACAAAAAGATTTCCTTAACCACAGAACTTTAATGAACATGTACAAATAACGATTTTGTAAAATAAAATGGCTTTGGCTATATATATTAAATGTCATTTTTCTTTTATTTTTTCCTATATTCTCTATAAAGTACAAGTAGCTATTTTTAAGTACTATAGCTTCTAAGTGGTATTTTGTTCTTTTTATAAATTTAATTCAATATACTTTTTAATGCCTATGACAAGGAAAAGCTATTGATATATTCACTAAGTAAAATCCTGTTCCAAGGTCCACTGCATGATATAATCATTTGTTAAGCAAACAGCACAGTGCCCAGCACATAGTAGGCATTCAACAAACTCTTTCATTTTTCTTTCCTTTCTTTTTTTTTTTTTTGGTCTTTTTTTGTCTTTTTTCGTGACTGGCAACAGATCGCAACCCTCAGTGTCGCGCCCGTACCGGACCGGGACCGGCAACGGGATCGCAACCCTCAGTGTTGCCCCCGCTCCTCGCTCAGCCAGTGAGCGGCCGGTCTGTATGTGGGATCCGAACCCTCGGCGGGAGCGCCTCCGCGCTTCCCAAGCGGCGCACTGTAGCAGTGCGCCACTGGGCCGGCCCCTTTCTTTCCTTTCTTATCCCTTACTGCAATTGTCATTCAGTAAAATGGAGCCCTTATAAGAAAAACAAGACTTTGGGCCGGCCCGGTGGCACACTGGATAGTGTGCTGCTTGGGAAGCGCGGCGGCGCTCCCGCCCGAGGGTTCGGATCCCACATACAGACCGGCCGCTCACTGGCTGAGCGAGGCGCGGGAGCAACACCGAGGGTTGCAATCCCGTTGCCAGTCCCCGGTCCGGTACGGGGGCAACACTGAGGGTTGCGATCCGTTGCCGGACACGGAAAAAGACAAAAGACAAAAAAAAAAAAAAAAAGAAAAACAAGACTTTAACATTCACACATTGTAATGTCAAATACTAACTTTAAGAAAGGAAAAACACTAAGAAGTCTATTAAAGATATTAGAATTTTTATTTAAAAAATTGTACAATGATAGTCTGATCTGTACAATAATAGTCTGATCATAGATGGATTTTTTAAAAATGTACCTTACAACTACAACTAACTTTATTTGAACTTGATATTTAATGAAGACATAACTATCAGTTGGACGCCAAATTTTACTTGGAATAAAATATCATATAGCCTATTACAGATCCTGCCATTTTTTTGCATGTATACTCTTGTATAGCAGAAAAGCAAACTTTTTATTAGGACACAAAAGCTATACAGGCCTTAGTACCAACAACTATAAGAAGCTATGAAAATTGCAATATAATTTTAATAACATAATTTAATCACACAGTGTAGAACTATTAATGTTCCGTAAGCTTAATTTGCTGAAATGTCTATTAAATACCATAGACTTGAACTTTATAAACATGTGTAAACTCTTAAAATATTAAATTAAATTAGGTACTCAATCATTTTCTTCCTACGTGTAATCTTTTGTACATGCCTTCATTTTTTCTATGAAGTGTTGCAACTTCCCAAAATATCAGGCACATCCATGTACAAATATTAGATACGAATGCATTCTAAACTCAAATTAAGTAATACTTTTGAGTTTATCTGAGCACTGTGTACTTTATAAATTCCAGTATAAAGATAAACACAAATTTATGTAAAATATTTTCATATTTAGGATTATTACAAATTAATCACTTGATTACAGGCTTTTCTTAACAAAAGAAAGATCAGCATGGCAGAATTTGAAAGAAATTATTTGTATTACAACATTTTTAAAGTTAAAAGTATTGTAAGTACCTGTAGGATTGTTAGATGAAGATAAGGAGGCATTGTTAAACAAAATACCTTCAGGCCATCCTTTAAGGAATTTAAAGATTAATGGTAAACTCGGAAAAGTAAACACATAATTAAAGTCTTAATAAAGTGCTATAATTTGTGTTCTATGAGAACTTGTAGGAGGGACACTCAAATTGCCTGATGGAAGGATGCTTGTATCCATTTTCATCTGTATATTCAACAGATTGAACATAACACTACTTGATGAAAAATTAGTCTGAGTTTACTTTCAGATTTTTTGTATTATTTTTCACAAATGCATGGTTTAACTATTACTCCCAAAGGGTGAGCTGGAACACAGAAAAGAATAAGACAGGAAAATTAAAACAATGCATTTAATTACTTGTTTCTTTGGGACTTGGTACCATTAAAATACTTAGTTAACATTTATCCAGTTGTTATTGTTTGCCAGACAGTGTGCTAAGAGCAGTCCTTATCCTAATCCTCTCAACCTTATTAATAGTCTGATCTGTACAATAATAGTCTGATCATAGGTGGATTTTTTTTAAATGTACCTTACAACTACAACTAACTTTGTTTGGACTTGATATTTAATGAAATAAATATCTAGCACTGTGTTATGTTCATCTTTTAGATGTGGAAACTGGGGCTCACAGTGGTCAGGGAACTTGTCCCAAATCATAAAGCCAGAAGCAAGCTTTCAACAACTGTGAGTAGACCTTCTTTTATAGGGTGAGAAAAATCATAAAATATAGAGGGAAAGCAGGGCTCGGAGAGTAAGATACCAGGCAAGCTCAGTCATCCATTCTCAAGTTATTTGTTATCACAGATCATTGAAGAGACTGGCTATAGATATCATTACTCTGTACACAAGCCTCTCACAAATCTCTCTAGCATCTAAAAATTCATATCAGAGCACCCCTACTATGAAAATCAGAGTGTGCTAACATAATAGTGAAGACGAATTACATGATTATGTATCTATTTTATGACATCAAGAAATCCATGACATAGTATCATATATGACACTACTGCATTCGCTATTACATTTGTCAGCTAAACTTTTAATTTAATTTAATTTTTTGGTTTTTAATTAAATTAATTAATTAATTTTTTTTAAAGATGACCAGTAAGGGGATCTTAACCCTTGACTTGGTGTTGTCAGCACCACGCTCTCCCAAGTGAGCTAACTGGCCATCCCTATATAGGGATCTGAACCCGTGGCCTTGGTGTTATCAGCACCGCACTCTCCCAAGTGAGTCACAGGCTGGCCCTTAAACTTTTAATTTTAAACAGGGTTTGTTCTTGATTATTTTTATGATGGTATCCAATGCCACAAATAAAAAACTCTTTGAAATCTACAGCTTCAATTTATGGCTTCCTACTATAGAACTTTATCTGGGTATTGCTGATGTACCTTGACTTCATTATACTAAACATGTTAGTACCTCAATACTAGTAAAACAGTTAAGCCTCAAACTGAGACAAATATCTGTTAAAGTAAATTGCTTTTCATGCTGAAATCAATTGATTAAATAAGTCACTTGCTGTAATGAGATAAAGAGTATAATTCCATGCTTGAAGGAGACTCTAAAACTACAATTTTAAATTTTTTTTAAAAAGGTACAGTCTAATAATTATTCAATAACTTCAGGTGTATTTCTTAAAAATTAATTTTAATTCATTCATTCATTCACATAATGCTCTTTAATTTATATTAATGCTGTTTAACCTCATTCTTGGGCTAACAGTGGGATAACATGTTCTCAGTTTTTGAAAAAGGCTTTATTGAAGAATGTTTTTAGAAAAAGTACAGTACAAATAACTAACTAAAATTAACTCCTAACATTTTCTAGAAATCCATGGGAGCCAATTCATAAGAATATAACTTTGCTTGAACTTAGCACCATTTGTATGCATAAAAATCTGATATGCTACAGTTATTAAAAATAGTTTATTCTCTGCAATCTAGTCTTCATTTCTTTATGTCATGCAAAAACTTGTGCCTTACAAAGAAATTATTACAAATGTGCACATATACATCATGAAGAGGTCTTACTATATTAGTTTCTTTTTAAAATAAAGACGTTTCGAAAGTGGAGAAAATCCTGAGTTTGGTAAGGTGATTGAAATAAACATAAGAGACAGTCACTAGGACATTCTTACAAAGGCCTAGAACGGGTGTGATAGTCCCTAGAGCAATGATTAAACCAAGTCTCACGAAGATAAAGGGCAAATCCTGCAGCAGGACACCCAGGGAATTGAGAAGAGGGTTTTGGGGGGTGAATATCATTCGAAGGACAGAAATAAAACTGAATATGTAGACTGGATATAGCCAGCTGGATTTGTACACAGCGGGGTGACCGGCCACACGCACCATTTCTATCGTGTCAGACCACAGCAGAAAACTCCACAGGAATATCTCTGCCCGGACATCTCGCTGGGACATTGTTCTCAGGATTCCCGAGGGAAAGGAAGGCTCCTGGGGTGCTAATGGCACAGGAAACTGTGTGGTTCCTGGGGGTCTGGACATCTCAGTTCTCCCCGCTGCCTGGGGACCTGCAGGGTTTTCGTCACTTTGCTTCACTTGCTCCGTTATGGTTTTTATCTGTTGCATAGAGGTCATGTGGATGTGCCCATCTTCATTACCTGAAATAAACAGATTGTTTTCCATTTTAATTTAAAAAGTTAAATTTAAAAAATGTTTGAATTCAAAATTCAATTTAAAAATAGAATTCCAAGCGTTCTCTTGTTTGAGACCTATTTTACATACAGAAGTCCAAGATAAAGATGGCATAGCATACTAAAAATTATAGAGCTGGGGAAAGCTCTTGGCACCTGGTATTTTTCTGGAAATGGATTTTAAGCCATTTTTACTATTTCATAGTAATGGACATTATTGTTTACTGAGCTAAGCACATTCACACACTCTCATTTAATTCTCAGAACAAAGCTGAAAGATAGGGATTACTATCCCATTTTACAAATATGGAACCCGAGGCCCAAGAGGTTAAGTGATGCCCAAATTCAAATACACAGTTAGTAAAGGGCAGAGATGTAATTTACGCCCAGATGTGTTTGGCTCCAATTGACAAACTCTTCACTTTATGACTGCTGTCACCTGTCTGGAGGTAATATATCATATGCTAATTACAAAATATATGAATATCGTAAAATCAAATACACCTGAAAGTTCACCAGTCCAACCTTGTCATTTTATAAGACAAAGAAGATGCTCACAGGATCTCTACACCCCAGGTATCCAGGCATGGAGTTTGATGCGAAAAGAGGATCTGTTCCACCACTTGAGATTTATCATGAAGTGGGACATGCCGAATGTAAGATTTTTAAGCTGTTTTTCTCCAAAGGTTTTTGAAGTGGTCAGTAAGATTGGTTAGTCTAAAGCATCACTTCTGTGAACATGAGGCAGTTACCTGGTCAACACACCAGTCATCTGAATGAGTAGGACATGTGACTTATCACCATTACATGGTGTATGTGTGTCTGTGTGCACGCTCGTATGTGTGTTCCTCTCTGTGTATACATCAGTGTCAAGGTCAGAGATTATGTAGGGACCCTCAAATCTCAAGATCTGAGAACGGTGTGGATGACATTGTTTTTATACATGATAGATACAGCACCTTCTTTTTAAAACGTGTATCTGCTTAAACATCATTTTGTTGCTAAGAACGTATCAGGCCTTGACAAAGTTTACTCAGTAAACGTGCTGAGCTGCTGTTATTACCCGATAAGACAAAATCCAAAGGGAGTCATTACATTAACAGCTGTAAAGGTCAAAGACACAAAGACACAAAGTCAATAAAAATTTGTTGACCTGAAAGTGAAAACATTTTTAAATAAATAAATTATGATTAATGACTAATAAAATGCTCAAATACTATAAACAGAGGTTTTTTGTTTTGACTTTGGCGGCTGGCCGGTATGAGGATCCGAACCCTTGACCTTGGTGCTATAACATCACACTCTAACTAACTGAACTACCTGGCCAGCCCTGTAAATGTTTTCTTTAAAGGACACAATAAACTTTGGTTTTCTTTTATGCAATTAACTAATTATTTTAAAATTTTAAGTGTGAATTGAGTATTTTTATAAGTTAAAAGGATTATCTAAATTCTTGATAAAACATTACTTACTTCTGGTATGAATTATTCATAAGGCAATGCCAGCACCCATGACTCTTAGAAACCTCTTTGGAAACCAACCTTAGAAGTCACAATGGTCTGAGTAGGTATCATTTTAATAAGTAATACTGAAGTAAGAGACAAAATTATATTGAATATAGTCAATATTATTTTGACTACACTCATACAGTCAAAATAATAGTCAATTAGTATAATTTATAAAATCATTTCTCTTTAAGAAGCCTACTTGCATCAATTGCCTCTCTCATTTTGTTAAAAAAGTTCCATATACGCAATATATTTCTTAGAGTATGTCATATCCTAGAGATCTCTCCTTCACCTCTCTTAGTAGCTAAAGCTGTTTGAATGAATATCCAAATTCCTTTGTCAACAGAAGGCACAGTGTATAATTTGAGTTTTTGAAAGATGATTGCAAAAATTCAGCATTGTTTCAACACCAGGAAGTGGCCATCTGAGAAGTGACACATTAACATTTTTTAAACAGTCAACGAGAGCCTTAATATCTGGGGATAAGAACTATTGGAATGAACAATGAATTCTCATCTACAGTTTGGTTTTGATGAGATGTGGAGGCCCCAGTCGATATGTAGGTGGTGAAGTTAGGGCTAAAAACTTTATATCTCTGCGCAGCTCAACAGGGACTAGTTTAGGTTTGGGAGAACAGGGACTCTGCTGTCCTCTTTTTAAGTGAGAAGCACTAGAACTATTAACTGGAAAGTTCTGTTGGCCTCTCAGATGTTAGGGGAGAGTCAATGAAGCCAAAATATCTTTTGGTCATTAGACTGGACCAGCAAATCTATCTCTGAGCGATGTAAACATTCATGTATTCAATACTATATTCCCTTTGACCCCATGACTAATACTTTTTTTTTTTCCAAATTAGTACTTTTTAAATTTCCACTTAACCTACAATTCTGTTCTTCCTGCTGTTAGTTGTTCTGTTTGGGTAAAACAATATTTACTTGTGCAAAATCCATAAAAGATATAAGCATAAAGAGAGTGATCCACTCACTTCCTGAGAGGCTCACGTTGCCCTGTAAAAAGTAAAAATAGCAGCTATTCTGTATAGTTCCCCACATCTGACACCAGTTGCTGAAATAACTTTTTGTCTTTACTGTGCAAACTAAATAATTAAGGAAATGTGATTTTGATAACAGACAAATGTTTGAGTAGGTAACTCCTACCTATTTTACTTTATTATTTATTTATATTGATTTATTTCCACCTCTAACTTATTTCCCAGAAGTTTTTGATAGCTTACAGGAAAAAATAATATAACACAATATAACAAATCAGTGGTGAGGCATTTTCTGGAATAAGCATGTATTCCTCTTGCAAAGAGAATAGGAAAGTAATATGTTATCTAAATAAAATGAAAAAGGAAAAGAAAGAGGAATCACAAGGAAAGACACCTAAAAACAAGCCAGGAATGAAGCTGATACTAAAAATGCATTAGTTAGACTCCCAACTACCTATATGTACAGACACATGTTAGAGTGCTGTACCAAACCTAGGCTAGACATTGGCTAATAATGTAGCAAACAGTATGGAAACAGTCCCCACCATCATGGCTCTAAATCTCCTGTAGTCACACCAATAAATATAAAAGAAAAAATTAATAAAAAATAAAAATAAATAAAATGTAGAATAATAAACGGTGGCTGGGCTTTAAAAGGAAAGTAAATTGTGTGGTAAGAGTCTATCACTGGGGACCTTAATTAGACTGTGGAGTTAAGGGAGGCTCATCTGAGAAGGAACAGTTAATTAGAGATGGGAAGAGTAAGTAGAAATTAATTAGATAACAAATGGGAAAAAGATGGGCTGAACGGTTAGTGCACTTGGTTAGAGTGTGGTGCTGATAACATCAAGGTCAAGGGCTCAGGTCCCCATATTTGGCAGCTGCCAAAAAAAAAAAAAAGAAAAATGGAAAAAAGAACTTGCCAGATAGTAGGAATAGCATGTGTAAAGATTCTTCAGTTAGGGCCAGCCCGGTGACACACTGGAGAGTGTGCCACTTGGGAGCGCGGCGGCGCTCCCACCGAGGGTTCGGATCCCATGTGGAGACTGGTTCCCGCTCACTGGCTGAGCGCGGTGCGGGCGCAACACCGAGGGTTGTGATCCCGTTGCCAGTCAGTAAAAAAGACAAAAAAAAAGAAAAAAAAAAAAGCTTCAGTTAGCATGAATTGAAAAAGGGAGAGTTTGGTGAGAGGTTTCTATATACCCAGTGCTTTCTATATACCCAGCATTGTTCCAATCCCTTTATATACATTAACTTATTTATTGAAACCCTATGATTTAGACACTCTTATTTTCCCATTTTAAAGATTAGTAAACTGAGGTACAGAGAAATTAAGAATTGTCTCCAACATTACACAGCTAGCAAGTAGAAAGACCAGAACTTGAATCCCAAGGCCTTAGCACCTATACCACACCATGGCAGAGACAGATTATATAGAGCTTTATGGGCCAGGTGAAAAGTTTTGAACTTCATTATAAGTTCAACAGACAGCCAGCTCTAAGCAAGAGAAAGACCCACGTAGAGGAGAATGGAGCACAGTAAAGTCAAAGAGCAGAAAAGTCAAAGTCAATGATGTCAGCTCTTTGCTCTTCCCCTGAAAGGCAGCTGATGCAAAAAGACGTTGTTACTCAATTCACAGCAACCAGGAGATAATTACTCAGAAAAAAGGGTGACTAGTCCTGATTAATAGTCCCAAAGTCTATTTTTCCTGAAGAAAAAATGCCCTAGAGAAAGCTAAAACCTAATGATTTAGACATAACACTAAGAAAAAATCCGGAAATAATTTTTAAAAAGCATATTAAGCATACAAAGCACTTTTAGTCATAATATTCTTAGAGAACAAGAGAAAAAAGGAGTACATTAAAATACACACAAGATCATTTACAAACACTGTTATTTTGATACTATACACTCCCTGAGGCAGGGAAAACAAGTAATGTTGCCAAGTAATAAATGCAACTCTTACTTCACAGCATGGTTATAAGGACAGAGTAAGTCAATATCTGTAAAGCACTTAAAAATAGTGTCTGACACACAGAACAGTCGTACATGTGTTAATAAATAAAAGGTAGCAATAGCTAAGCAATTTATTGTTTTAAGTTAATTGGAATAGAATAGAAAGCTTCAGAATGCAGTAAAGAGCAAAAATGATTACAGTGTGTTAAACTTTGGCTATAGATATACTGTTACCCAGCATGCCATATACTGAGGGTGGTCAAGTTGGAGAAATAGTGTCACACTACAGAGCCTTTACAAAACCATGAGTTTAGTTCTCATATTTGCCGGTTCACATAACAAAGAAAAATACTGCCCCACAGATCTAACCTGTGTAAGTGGAGACAGCTTACACCAGCTAAAAGCCCACCATATATGCATCTCTTCCCAATTCCAGAGTCAATGTTCAGTGATATCATCTTGGTAGCTTGAAATTGGTCATGGTGGTAGTATTTACACCACAGAAATTGGCA